AACGTCCCCCAGCTGTCTTTAGAAAAGTTCAAAAAGAGCAAGAACATGACACATACATTCCACCCTCAGGGGCCTCTCTCCTTAATACTTCTGCATTTCTCAATTAAAAAATTTTTAAAAAAGATTTTGAAAATGTTTAATAACAAAGATGGATGAAAAATCAAAGTACTCATGACTAATTCAAGATCTAACTTCATGGGTCAAGGAAGCAGTTTAGTGATAGAGCACTTGTCTAGTATGTGCATGGCACTGGGTCTGACCAAAAAACAAAATTAGGGGCTGGAGCGATAGTAGAGTGGAGAGGGAGCTTGCCTTGCAAGCAGACAGGCTGGGTTCAATCCCCGGCACCACCTATGGTCCCCTGAGCCTGACGGAAGTGATTCTTGAGTGCAGAGCCAGGAGCAACTCCTGAGCACCACTAGGTGTGGCCCAAAAAAAGTTTTTTAAAAAAAAACTTCAGTAAAAGAAAATTTGTAAAAATTGTTTTATCTCACCATGGGGTCATTAAGTCCTTGTCTGAGAGCGTACTAAGCTGTTCATTGCTAATTGAACCTCCTGTTTTATTGCTTCTGGAGCAGAGCTGGGTTCTATGTTACTTTCCCTTCTAATCTGATGTGCTCCTACTGGGATATCAGTATTATAGAATTTGGAGGTGTCACACAGCCGCAAATGCGGCCACAAGCTCCAGAAACTTAAGCATATGTAGCTGGGCTATACGTTTCCATTGTGACGGCTGTGGGGTGCGGGTGGCTGCCGGGGGATCCTAGAAGAAGGAGGGGTGGAGGGACGTTGGCCCCCACTCTAAGAAGACCCCAGAGTTCTCAGCCTGTAAAACTGGCATACCTGGAATTTTTGGCAGTTCCCCTGTAGTTTTATTCTCATTCTTCTCTTATTTTATCTATTCTTCTGATTTTGTTAACATGATTTCTTCTCTTTTTTATCTAATTATACTGCAGAAATCTTTGTTTTTCCCTTGGTCTTTAATCTTCTTGACTACTGTTGATTTCTTGCAAGCCCTATTATTCAACCCATGAGGTTGAAGGTACTTGAAAAAACAAGGGGCATTTCAAAAGGAAGATATCTAATTAGCTAGCCTAAGTTTAGAAAGCCAACGCAAAGATGCATAAACTTCTAATCTGAATTTGAAGTAGACAGGCTTAAATGCTGCCCTTAGTTAGATCTTTGTGATTCACCTGAGTTCATTGCATTATGTGAAATAAATTAGTTTTAAATTTGTCACTTATCCTCAAAGAGTTGATCAACTTTGGTTTAGTTATGGTGAAATTTAGAATTGTGACTTTCAAATTATTAAGTTTTACCTGGATGGAGGAAAAAAATGTTATGCGAATGTGTAGGAGGTTATAGAGTCATTGTACATTGAAATATGTCCACTGTCCATTGTCCTCCCGTTGTTCATTGATTTGCTCAAGTGGGTCCAGTAACATCTCCAGTGTGAGACTTGCTGTTACTGTGTTTGGCATATCGAATACGTCACGGGTAGTTTGGCAGGCTCTGCCATGTGGGCGAGATACTCTCAGTAGCTTGCTAGGCTCTCCGACATTGAAATAAGAAATTCTAAATAAAATATACTAAAAACCCTTGTCTAAGTTCATTTAATAGGTTAATTTTCAAAATAAAAATAGTCTTCATTTAATATAGAAATGAAAACTGAGTTCATGACTGACTTTGAGACCTAGGTTTGGTTGGGGAGAGGGGTGAGCATGCCTGGGGGTTTTTAGGGGCCATCTGTGGCTCTGAGATCAGGAACAGGTCATATGTGGTCCTGAGGACTCTAACCAAGGTCACAGATGCTGCAGTCATGTGCAAGGTGAGTGCATTATCTCTGGTACTCTCTAGCCCCTGGCTTTGTGATTTTATAAATAACATAAATATTTCAGTCAGGATGAACTGTAATGTATATAATACATAAAGCACATAATGAGTGTTATCTGCAATGTAAATAAAAGACCACTGAAGGGGTCAGAGTGATAGTACAGTGGGTAGGGAGTTTGCTTTAAAAATACTGACCTGGGCTTGATCCCTGGCATCTCATATGGTCCCCAGACCCCTCCAGAAAGGGTCTCTGAGTGCAGAGCCAGGAGTAAGCCCTGAGTACTTCCAGGTATGGCCCCCAAACAAAACTCAAACCAGACCATTTAAAAACTAGAAATCCGGGACAGAGCAATAACACAGAGGTAGGATGCTTGCCTTGCACATGGCCGACTCAGAATCCCCAGCAGCCCATATGATCCCTCGAGACAGAGTCAGGAGCTAGCCCTGAGCAATTCCTGCTTCCAGGTGGGGCCCAAAAACAAAAACAAAATGAAACCCCAAACAGGATAAATGCCTTATTTAAAAAAACTTGAAAGCCTGTATTATTTAAGGAATGCATAATAAATGCAAAATGTAAATCTATAGACATTTATTTAAGTAAAGTGCACATACAACTGCAGGTAAGTAAGTAAGTAAAGTAAAGGCCCTCCCGTTGATCGTCGATTTGCTCGAGTGGGCCCAGTAACGTCTCCATTGGAGACTATGTTGTTACTGTGTTTGGCATATCGAATACATTACAGGGAGCTTGCCAGGCCCTGCCGTGTGGGCGAGATACTCTCGGTAGCTTGCCGGGCTCTCCGAGAGGGGCGGAGGAATCGAACTCGGGTCGGCCATGTTGGCTGCCTGCAAGGCAAACGCCCTACCCGCTTTCCTGAAATCCTATCACATGGATCAATGTCCACTAAAAATTACTAATTTGCTATCAGGCCAAAAGGAGACGTTAGGACAAATGTCTCCTAAAGACACAGTGAACCCTGGAAAGCTCTGCCGTCTGTGCGAGGAGGGGGTAGGATGGAGTCTGGCATACAGGGAGGACTTTGGGGTCCCCTGTGCTCAGGTAGGTCCTGGGACTATCATTAATATCTTCCTGGCAGCTGGGCAGGATGTAACTACCACCACAGCAACAGGGTCTGGGCATTCCTGAAGAGTCTTCAGACCCAAGGCAGAGAGACAGGAACTCCTAAACTGTCTTCAGAATTCAGTGTAAGAAACTCTCTAGCTGAGAGAAAGGAGAGAGAGAGAGAGAGACACAGAGAGACAGAGAGAGAGACAGAGAGAGAGACAGAGAGACAGAGAGAGATAAAGGAGAGGAGAGAGATATGGAGAGAGAAACAAAAAATGGAGAAAGAAATGGAGAAAGATAAATAGAGAGAGAAAGAAAGAAATGGAGAGAAATGGAGAGGAAGAAATGGAGAGGGAGAGAAAGAGAAATGGAGAGAGAGAGGGCGAGCCTGACAGAGAGAGACAAAGGGACAAAGGGAGAAGACAGACGCTCCCCACGAGCCCATCTTGTGAAAAACAAGGTCGTGACATCAGTTCACTCTTTCCCTGGGCTCCCGTTCACCCACACATTACTGAGGGCTATTATTTCACTATTTTCGGCAAAGGTGTCTCCTTAAAACCAAACAGGCATTGCTGTAGAGGATGTGGGGACCCACCGGACTGTGCTGGAGGGTGGCAGAGGGGGGAGATCCCTGGCTGTTCGAGTTTAAACTTCAGCATGACTGAGTTGGTGATTCTTGGCGGTGGGGTGTGGGTTGGAGAGAGAGCACCGGGGTTAAGGAGCTGACCTTGCCTGCCCTGGGCCTCGCTCAGCACCTCCTCTAGTTAATTCTCCAAGTGCTGCTGGGAGTGATTCCCGAGCAGAGCCAGGAGAGAGCACAGCCAGGTATGACTCGAACAACGAATGAAGAAACTCCATTCCAAATGGCAGTTGCTAATACAAACTCTGCAGTAAACTGGGAGCTTGCCCCGCCCCCCCCCCCCCCCCCCCACACACACACACACCTGTCAGCTGTCTACCTGCAGCATCACATAACACAGAATGGGTGACCATCCCCAGGTGAGCCGTGCCCTGGAGCCAAGGGTTTGGGCATCCCTGGTCTGGGGTTACTGTTATCTCAGGCACCTGGCTCCACACACAGCCTGGCACCTGCATTTCCCACCTCATCTTTGCTGGGGGCTCTGCCTACGGCTGCCCAGTTCTTTGCAGTGGGCAAACTGCATTCCAGTGGCCTTCCATGACAAGCCATCAATATCACAAGCCCTCCACTGCTGGTGTCGTGGAAAGCCTGTCCTCTCGGGCATGCAGCTAGGAACTCAGCAGGGAGACTGGCTTCTACTGCAGTGCAACTGTTTTCTGCTTCAGTCCTTAAGTAACAGTAAACGTATTGAATTATTTTAAATCTTGTGGCCACAGAGCCAAAGAGCTGATTGGAGACAGTGGTGAAGAGGATGCTAAAGCAATTCCCATCCTTCTGGTTCTCCACGTCCTTGTCTCCTTGAGGCCTTGTGTTCTGAGCCTCACGCACTTGGCTTCAGATGCCAAATGGCAGACATTCGCGAGCTGAATGGAGGAGTGGGCGCGGGTGGAGAGCATCAGCCACATGCCACACCCTGGGGCCAGGGTCATGACACGGCAGCCATGTTTTCATTCTACATCATGAACTTGACAACTTCACGAGAAGGTACTGACTTAATCGAAAATTCAAGAAAACTGAGCATTTTATCAGAAAGTCTATTTTGTGCTACGGGATTCTCAGCACCCACAATCCAGGGACTGCTCCCATCTTTCAAGATCCCTTTAGACACCCATCAACTGCTAAATATTTGTCATGCCTTCCTGCAGTTATCTGTATCCACCTGAGAGCAAGGAAAACAAGTGGCCAGTGCTTTCTGCGGTCCAAACGTCACCCGAGTGTCTCCAAGACGAAACCCAGACCAGAAGGTCATGGTAGGGAGTTGCTACCTCACGGGGTGGACCACTTACTGGTACAATGGGGGCATCTTTTGGAAAGACACAGAAGCACTTCTGATTTCTTTCTTCTCAGCTGGAACACTGGCAACTGCCACTCCTTTGTTTTTCCACTCCGGGCTTGCCCGTGCGAACAGGACACGTCTCCCATCAACCCGACACATACCCCACGGATGTCCCAAGATCTACTTGCCTAATGAGGATGGAAATCACCAGGAGGGAGATTGCATAGTAGCGCCGTAGGACCGGTCCTTGGGCCTTCTCCCGCTGGTGCATCGTCCCTCCACACTTGCCAAGGCATCGACACAAGCAGAAGCACAACCCCACCAGAGGCATCAGGATAATGAAGAGGACTCCCAGGAAAGCACAAATAATAACCCCAAGCTCGTAGCCAATAATCTGCAAGTCAAACAAGAAAGAGGCGAGGTTGGGGGGAGAGAAAGAGCACAGCTGGTAACATACCAAGTCACACACACATTCCCCCCAAGACACACACTTCGTTTCCGAAAAGATATTTGACTCGATTGACTGAATTTTCAGTGTGCGTTTCCCACTTGGAAGCTCTTTCTGGAGATTTGATTCGTTGGAGCAGTGGGCTAGCTTCCTTTAACTTCAAGGAACATCGTCCAAACCCGGGGAAGCTGCTGGAGGTTATTTGCTTTCAACCTCAGGTATCTTGTTTGCTTTCAAATGGCATCAGCAAGTTGGCAGAAGTATTTGCATCACAGATCATCTACATTTAGGGAGCTTTCTCCCCAGGAACACAGGAACACAGGAGATGCTGGTCAGGATGCAGGCACAGCGCATGCCTTCCCTGGGTTCAACTTCCCACACCTCACACAGGAAGCGCTAAAAGCAGTTTGGATGGATGACGTCAATACATGGAAACTTTGCAGTTGATGACAAGAGCCTCTGGAATTTTAAAGTCAGATCTCTCTCTCTCTCTCTCTCTCTCTCTCTCTCTCTCTCTCTCACACACACACACACACACGCGCGCGCTAATAAGACTCTCTGGATGAGAGCTGCTCAGTATACATGACTCACTGTTGTGTATTAGGTACAATACTTGTAAGGCTCTTTGGGAAATTACAGTTTTTGTTGGAGAGTGATTGGTGGCAGAGCAGCCGAGGGAGCAGCATCTCCAACTCAGTGTCCACAAGCAGCTCACGGGTTGGACAGGACCTGGCTGCCAGGGAGCAGTGTGGCAAGGTCTTGATGCCAGGCTCAGCTTTCTGGTTAGGGCTGGCCTTATTCAGTATAAAATTTTAAAAGGACACAACTCCCAAATTACCGCTATGCCCCTAGCCTGACTCCACCGTCTCATGACGGGCCTCATGGAGATATAATCTGCTGAAAATTTGGTATGTGGGCTTTGTGACTGAAATCTCCAGGCTCTCTTGGGGTTGGGGTGGGCTACCTCCTCCCACCTCCCTGTACTTCCAGAAGCCTCGGTAGTCATGTCCACATCCCAAAGCTGCCACGCAGTTAAAAAGCTACTCCAGCCTTACTGTCCTGATAAAAATACAGAATGCCCTGAACAAACACGATGGCCTCTTAGTACCTGTATTGCAAACCATAATGCACAAAAGTAGAGGAAGGCTGGGGGTGGGGGTGGGGCATTGGGGGATGGTGGGAGAGGAAGCGGCGACATTGGTGATGGGAAATGTTCATTGATGGAGGCATAGGTGATGGATCATTGTATGACTGAAACCCAATCAAGAACAGATTTGTAATGGTCTAGCTCACAGATATTCAATTAAAAAAATGTGGAGTTCATGCCCACTTCAGTCAGCTTAATCAGTGACTGAGTAAATAGCAGTACTCCTACATAAAAAAATAAAACCAAAAGCATACAGCTGGAAGATGAGACCAGAGTGCACTCCAGCTCATGCCCGGGTCTTACGCACTGTCCCAGGGCAGGCTGTCTGTCAGAGTAGGAACAGAACCCAGGCTTGTAGCTTACCACCCAGCACACTAGGGAGCGACTGAACTCCGAAGGCACCCGGAGTAGAGTCTGACTAAACCTTGGCCCACACGGGACGTCATGAGAAAGAGCACTAGACTCAGACTAAGAGAGGCCATTTAACTCCCCGAGGGGGCTCTCGTTCCCCATGCAGGAAAAGGACATGCTAGCAGAACACATCGTCACAGAAGCCTGGGGAAGGGACAGATCATGGCATGCATTAAGGTGAGAAAACTCGGGCAAAAACCAGGCCCCTGGTAAATATTCCATCAAAGGGAGGTAACCAGGGACAGAGGCCTGAGAGTGCGGGGTCAGTGAGCATTTCAGCAGCATCTGTGTGGGCACTCAGGGCTAGGCTACGGGGAGGGGACGGTCCATTCTCTACACCCAAGCACAGACTTTTGCTGGCACCCAGCCCTGCCCCCTGGCCTCCTGGAGTCCTTATTTCCATTCCTGGAGAACCCACAAAGGAACCCACTGAAAAACATAGCACCAGATAACCCCACCCCCAAATCTTACTTAGAGTTTGCTATTATGCATCAACAAATAGTATAATTTATTTAGTTTTATAAGAGCCATACTAGCAATTTGTGGGGGGAGGGATGCGAGGGACTGGGCTTGCTTCTGGCAGAGCTTAACCTTGTGTTCAGGGATCACCAAGGGTGGCCCAGGTGAAACATGGGTGCTGGGAATTGAACCTGGGGCCTGGCATGGGCTAGGCGTGTGCCCCACCATTTGAACCATCTTCCCAACCTGCTATTTACTCTTCTTTGCCTTTTCTGTTCTGTTTTTGGGCCACATCCGGAGATGCGCAAGGCTTATTCTTGGCTCTGTGTTCAGGAGTTATTCCTGGCGGATTTAGTACATCAAAGGGGGTGCCAGGATTGAACCTGAATCAGCCTCATGCAGGGCAAGTGCCCTACTCGCTGCATTGTCTCCCCGGCCGGTATCTACTCCTCTTAAAAGGATGCTAACATCTGTCTGGATGGCAGCAGACACTGAACCCAAACCCAGGAGAGGAGGCAGACTGAAGGGCCAGGACTTCCTCTGCAGAGCTTGACACTCCATACACAACCTTTGCACCTTTGCAGTGCTACTTAAACATGGTGTCAGACCTCGTCAGGAAACGGCTGCTCATGCTGAGAGTTACTTTCCCAGGCTGGAAACGATATCAATTATTATTGAATACATTGGTGGTGGAATATGTTGAGAGAGCAGCAAGATGTGAGTTTACAAAGATGTGTTGGGGGGCCAGAGAGAGAGAAGGCTCTACAGGCAGAGAGCAGGGTTTGTGTGGGGAAGCCAGGATGCCATCCTCGGCACAGGGTGGTCTCTGATCCCTTCCAGAAGGGATCCCCCTGAACACAGAGCCAGGAAGAGGCCTGAGCACCGCTGGGTGTGACCCCTTCCCCCCGCAAAACAAAAGGAAAAATAGAATCATCACAGTGGAGATGGTCTCGAAAAACAAAAATTTCTGGCCAAGTGTCTCCCTGGGTGAGAGAGCTGGCCACCCAGGGGCGAGGGTCAGTGGACGAGACATGTCACATGCACAGCACAGACATTTGCATTTCTGCCAGCTCATTTTTAAAAAGCAAAGAATTAAATTAAATCAGGATCAAAGGGAAGCATCCTGGGACTTGCTGCCTGGCTCCAGACAAAGCAAAGGGAAACGGCAGACGCGGACTTTACCTTCAGAAGCAGGAGAGCGGTCTCTGGCTGCAGAGTCAGAGCGTTTGGAAGAGTTTGTGCAAGCAGAGAGGTAAGCATGGAATCGAAAAACAGAAACAGTCTCGTTAGCCACCGTGGCGGGCAGGGAGGGAGGGGGAGAATGTCTGCACCGAGAGAAGCAAGCGAGAACGGGATTGGCCTGTCAGGAGCAGGAAACTCAGCGCTGATGAGAGAAACAGCCATTTGGATCTTGAATCAAGCTCTGGAGTTACCATCTGGGCTGTCGTTTGAACCCCCTGCAACACAAGGCTCAGTATTTGAACCCGTGTGGACTGGGAACTCGGAGGAGGGCACAGGAGTTAGGAGTTACCCTGACACACTAAATGAGTGAACCCCACCAAACAGAATCAGCGGGTCGGGTGCTTGGGTCAGAACCCCAGACGCAGCACCCTCCCAGGGAGTATCTCTAAAATAAACCCCTGGTGGTACTGTTCCAGGCTTAAGAGAACACCAGGGATTCCTGCCATTTCTAATTCACTTTTACTGTGGTTTTGTCGGTCGGACCCGCGCCTCGCACACACAGGGCAAGGGCTCCACTGCTGCGCCACCTCCTGGTGTTTTGCATATTTCTTCATGTTTTTCTGTTTGCATCTGGCTTCGTGTCCCCATAGCTCTTCATCACTCTAGTCCCTCGAGAGCACGGCGCGCTCTCCCCTCCAGATCGGGGACCCTCTTCTGCTGTCATCTTCTGGGGGAGAGTTTGTTCCCATCCCTTCTGGAAACTCAAATCTAGAATGGACATTGCTTCCTCCAAACCTGTCTGGATCAAGCGTCTGGGTCTGGGGTGCAGCCCACCCCCTCACACTGCGAGTTCTGACTCGCCACTTGCCCCACGGAGCCAGCAAGGTCACATCTAGGCGACTCTCTCCTGAATGCTATGACCCAGACCTGGCTGGCCACACCTGCCCAGGCCAAATCAGCTAAGGGGATGAACTGAGGGAGCTCCCGCTACTGCCTGAGACCGAGCATTCTTCAACACGGGTCCAGAATTGGGGCCAGGCCAGTGATGGAAACGCACCAGCCCTGTCTAGGAGACAGAGATGAGGAAGATGCCCATGTTCTAAGAAGTCAAATGGATTTGCTTTAGATGACTCGAGTCCCCGTGGAGGGAGTGAGAAGTGCCACATGTAGAGATGGAGGGCCTTGCAAAATATCCACCCTCCCCCGTCCCCTTGTGGTAAAATAAAAGCAGGTGGCTCCACTGTCTGCCTGGCCCAGGAAAACCAAGTTGGGCAGCGATGGCTCAGATAGCAGATCTCCTCAGACCGGATGAAAGAGCATTCAGGATACTTGAGCAACCAGGAAATGAGGCCTCCGCAATCTTGATTCTTGATTTCCCAGTTGAATGGTGGTTTGTTGGTTTCCAGTGAGACCGCTGGGACATAGCATAGAGTGGGGTGCGATAGTAGGGTCCCATAGCCAGGCCTGGGACATAGCATTCAGGAGAGAGTCGCCTAGATGTGACCTTGCTGGCTCCGTGGGGCAAGTGGCGAGTCAGAACTCGCAGTGTGAGGGGGTGGGCTGCACCCCAGACCCAGACGCTTGAATCCAGACAGGTTTGGAGGAAGCAATGTCCACTGTTGGTTGAATGGTGGTTTGTTGGTTTCCAGTGAGACCGCTTCTCTTGACTTTCTTTCTTCAGTTCACTTCGACCTTCAAGTTCAAGTTCTGCCCACCTTCCTGCCCGAGTGACTCCTCAGCTCTCCAATGCGGTTCCTTCGCCTCTGCCCAGAGGCGCTTCCAGAGCCACCTAAGGATTAGCCAGGTCCCCACACTGAGCGGCCCTGACCCGGGCCTCTTCTGTCTCTGAGTCCTGACAGCCTGTCTCATGCCCCTTGTCAAGAACTTCCTGGGGGTGTCACTGTGGCCCCCTTTCCTATGAGATGAAGCCCGTTGGTCCTCACCACCCACCCTGGACAGGCTGCCCCCCCAGGGACCCTACTATCGCACCCCACTCCCTGCGCAGAGTCAGTCTCTGCTGTGGGGGAGAGTCTTGGTCCCAGTCCCCAGCTTCACCCAACGGACACTGCTTAGAGAGCCGCCCCCTCCCACATGGCCGCTGCCCCAGGCCTGTCCCCACTGGCTAACTGGAGGGAAGAGCACCCTGCTCCATAAGGACACAGGCTTTGGGCCACTCGCGGGGGCTCCGTCTCCTCTCTCCCTTGCACTCCACCCCCGTGGATGTTGTGTATTTGCAAAGATGCATGAGGTGGAGAGGAAATTGGGAATGAGAGAACCCCAAGTTTATAGTAGCTCCAAATCCAATGGAAATCCAGCTACGAGGACTCAGTGATAGAATCTCCCATGCAGACGGTGGCTGCAAAGCCCAGGTCCCAGCCGCCAGGCTGCTGGAGGTCAGGCGTGCACAGAGATGGCTGGCTTTCAGACCACAGGGCTTGCTTATGTCAGGACAGGGGATTTGGATCACACTCAGTAGTGCTCAGGGATCACTCCCAGGGGTACTCAGGGGACTATGCAGTGCCAAGGATCAAACCAGAATTGACTGCATAAGATAAGCACTTTAAAAAATATATTAAATTTTCTTAATTTTTCTTTTTTTATTTGGGTAGGGGGTGGGTGGAGTGTGGGCCACACCCAGTGATGCTCAGGGCTTACTCCTGACTCTGCACTCAGGAATCACTCTTGGCAGTGCTTGGTGAACCATATGGGATGCCGGGGATCGAACCTGGTTCAGCCAGATGCAACCAGGCCCTCCCTGCTGTACTATCTCTCCAGCCTCACACAGGTACCTTAACCCGTGTACTTCCTCTCTGGCTTCATTGCCATTGCTAATTTTATTATCAACATAGCAGCAATAGTCTTCTTGTTCTGCCCAGAGTGTGGCAGGTAGGGACAGTTGCTTCTCAGAGTCCTAAAGACTCCAAACACCATTGTCCCTTGGGGTTAGATAGGGTGTGTCCCCATGCACACCCCCGCAGAAGGCTGCCACGCTTCCGTTTCTCTCAAGGGTCATTTCCTGGCAAACAGAGACCACACGTTCACTGGACGCCCAGTGTCCTGAGGTCATCTCTCACTGTGCTCCCTGGGCCCCAGCACTGTTCTCACACCAATGGGCACCGTCATTCTGATGCACAAAGGTGCTTTTCTCACTGTCTTAATAAATGCTTTCTGTCAGAAAAGGACAGAACTGGGTCTGAGCTCCTGACTGGAGATTTTTTAGTTTTAAATACTGAAACCCTTCATTTTTTTTAAGTATGTTGAATAACATGGGTGTCGTTCAAAATCTCCAGTGAAATCTCCAACAGAATTCTAATCCCTCGATCAGGCCGACAAAGCAACTGCAATACATCACAATCAAAACTGTCACAATCAATTGCAATACATCACAATCAAAACTGTCCGACCAGGGTCTCAGGGATGGCACGGTGGGTAGGGCTGGAAAATCTAGGACTCTTGCTCTGCATGTGGCTTCTCCAGCTTCCATCCTGGCACCACATACGCTCCCTCAAGCCCTGCCAAGAGTGATCCCTGAGCACAGGGCCAGGAGTGAGCCCTGTGCACGGGTGGTGTAACTACTTCTTTAAAAAAAAAAACTAACAAACCACCCCCAGTGGTAGGTAGGGCCATATGGAAGGCATGACGAGCCCTACTGGCTGTACCATCGCTCCGGCTCACTAGTAAAGTAAGTAAGTAAAGGCCCTCCCGTTGATCGTCGATTTGCTCGAGCGGGTCCAGTAACGTCTCCATTGGAGACTTTGTTGTTACTGTGTCTGGCATATCGAATATGTCACGGGGAGCTTGCCGGGTCCGGCTCACTAATTCTTTCTTTTCTTTCTTTTTCTATTTTCTTCTGCATGTTGCCCATAAATCTCTTTTCTTCTTTTCCTTCCCTTCTGCCCTTTCTCTATTTTTTCTTTTCTTCTGGGGGCTCAACTGTATGCAAGCAAGTGCCCTACCTGCTGTACTATTGCTCTGGCCCCATTATTTTTCATCAAGTGCTCACACAGAGTAATATCAAGCTGCTTTGAACAAACTCTCTTTAAAAAACAAGTAATGTCACTAAATTCTCTTTAAAAACCAAGAAATTTCTCTATCTTGATGATTACTCAAACCCCTCTGCTTGGAGAGTTCTCCTGTCTTAGCTAAAAAAAAAATGAGCATACTACATCCTTTAAGAAAACTCCTTTTAAAATAACATACAGCTTAAAAAAGTGAAGTTTCTTTCAAATAATACTTTTGAAATTTCTTCTGTAGTTCAAATGTGATTTACAAAGGGTTTCACTATTCCATGACAGCTGTTAGTGCAAAAGGAAGATTACTAAATTCATAGATTAAATAACCGTTCAAAGATTTACTTTCAAGTCAGCCCAAATTTTTTTCATCATTTTAGAAAACAAATATGTCAGTAAAAATTACCGAGTCAAGACTAGATTTGAATTCAAACTTGTTCCGATAAACTTCTCTTAAAATATCTAGGAAGAAAAAAAAAGCAAAACATTAGCAAAATTGTTTTCAGTAAAAATACAAAGTATTGCAATTTCATTCAGTTCTCTTTTTTTGGGGGGGAGTGGTTTGAGTCACACCCAGCTATGCTCAGGGCTCACTCCTGGCTCTGTGCTCAGAGATCACTCTTAGTAGGCTGGAGGGACCATATGGGATGTTGAGGATGGAACGAAGGTCAGCCATATGGAAGGCCAGCACCCTGTCTGCCATGCTTTCTCTCTGGCCTTGGTGTACTTATACGCTAAGGAGGCGAATAATGTGAATGAGGCTCCCTCAAATATCTTTTAGGTAAGTGGTTTGGGGTAAAATTCAGGGCCACTACCTCCCAGGTAAAGAGTCCTGGGTAAACAGCCAACAGCTGTGGAACTCTCTTACTCTCTCTAATTTGCCAATTACATTTTATCATATGCCTGTATGTAGAGAAAAAAACCCAAACTCTTCTGGGCTATATATGACATCGATTTCAGACATCCTTTGAGGGTGTTGGACTCCGCCTTAGGCTGGGGGCGGGGGGCAGTTCTGTTAAAACTGGACCAACAGTGCAGAGCAAGGGTGGCAAAGACTGGAGAGAGTCACAACAATCACACTCCCCCAAACCATTGTATTTGCCACTGCTATGACCTCGTGGCGGGGAAAAGCCAGTTACAGTTACAGATATTCCTGTGAGTCAGTATTCTATGCAAACCTCAACAGTGAGCAGTTGTCTTTTGGTGACGCTTGTACTTGAGAGAAGGGACTGATACATCATGCTCTTCTAAGGAGAATCCCAGCACGGCAGCTGCCGTCAGAAAGAGCACTGGGTCTGGAGAGATAGCTCAGTGGGTCAGAGACATAAAATAAAAATTATTTTATTTTTTTTTAATATGGAATGCTTCACGAATTTGCGTGTCATCCTTGCGCAGGGGCCATGCTAATCTCTGTATCATTTCAATCTTAGTACACATGCTGTCGAAGTGAGCACGGTTGGAGACATCCTTAGGTGGGAGAACCATCTTCAGTCCCTGGCACCACATGGTCCCCTGAGCACCACCCGAGCACCACCAGGAGCTACCCATGAGTCAGGTGTGGCCCCTCTCAAACTAACAAACAAACAAGATATCTTTGGGGTTGGAGAGAGAGCCTGAGGGGTCCCAGCACTGCCTGTCTCCTGAGCACTACAGGGAGAACTCAAGAGCACAGAGTTGGCAATAACTGGGGACAACCACCTCCTATGGGTCACAGCAGGAGCGCCTTCCTGCTCTGGGCCACAGCAGCTGTTTCCCCTCAGCCTCTCTGCGTCGCTGTGGGTAAGCAGCGGCTCTTCATCAGGGCACATGTGAGCATCAGAAAGGCCTGGGAGCACAGCCTGGGGGCTCGGGGAGGGACATTCTGCTGCTCATCATCATCCGGAAATTCAGGGGACCCCACAGGAAGAGATTTTGTCTCAGCTGAGAACTCTGATGTGATTGTGCCCATCCTAGGTGGCACATGCAAGCCGGAGGCTCCCTCTGCCCCCAGCCTGGTGGGGGTAATGCTCTCTCTCTCTCTCTCTCTCACACACACACACATACACACACACACCTGCGCACGCACACACAAACACGCACACACAGAGCAGGACATCCTTTGTGTCTGCACTTGCAGCCACTGTGCCTGGGCGCTGTCCCAGGGGAGATGCAGGGCTGCTGGGTGCCTGTGTGGCCGCAGGATCTGGGACCCTGTTTCCGGGTCATGTTCACAAACTATTGACTAAGATATCTGTCTTCATTTCTCTCAAGACATATGTAGTTTGGGCCAGAACTGGGAAGAGCAAAATTCTACTCTTGGAATGTTCTAGTAACAGAATGGATAACCACCACACACACACACACACACACACACACACACACACACACTATACCAAGCTGGGCAGGGATCAAACCAGGTTCCTGCATGCAAAGCGTGAGCTCAGCCCTCTGAGATATTTCCCAGCCTTGGACAGAGAAGATTAAAACTCTTGTTTTGGCAGTTGATGTATCATATTGCTAACAAGCTGAGCACTCTTGGAAATATTTTGCTGAGAACATCTATTTAACAGGCCTCACCTGGCTAGAGCTCTAATTTTATCTGGCACCACCGAACACTTACTAAGTTCCTATCATAGTAGGACACCGAATCCCCCGCAAGGTACTAAACTATATTAAAAATAGTTTCAATAAGGAGATTTTATTTTATTTTATTTTATTTTGCTTTTTGGGTCACACCTGGCAATGCACAGGGGTTACTCCTGGCTCTGCACTCAGGAGTTACTCCTGGCGGTGCTCAGGGGACCATATGGGATGCTGGGAATCGAACCTGGGTCGGCCGTGTGCAAGTCAAACGCCCTACCCGCTGTGCTATCTCTCCAGCCCCCTCAATAAGGAGATTTTATACTTGATATAAAAACATTTAATATGTTACAAATTATTCTAATAGATGTACAAACAGTATTACTGAAATGCAGTTCTTGATAAAATAAAATATTTTTAAAAAAGGACGTCCCCAGTGGCATCTGTGGTAGCTGAGAAGTCCAGAAACACAAATACACACACACACTCCCAGGTGTTAACATTTTAGAGGTGTTGGCAGTATACAGGGTGTGAAAAAGCAATTGACCTCTCTTTCTCTCTAAATCGCTCTCCTCTCTCTCTTCTCTCCCCTCTCCTCTCTCTGTCTCCTTTCTCTCTCCTCTCTCTTTTCTCTCCCCTCTCTCTCTCTCTCTTTCCCCTCTCTTTTCTTCTTTCCCTTTCCCCTCTTCCATCTCCTTCCCTGCCATCCCCTTCCCTCCTCTCCCCACTCATCTCCTCTTCTTCTCTTCTTTTTTTATTGAGACATAATTGACAATTTATTTCAAAATACATATGTGCTTGTGGGTAAATTATTTATCCCTACTGTCTTCCCCCCTTAATTTTTTTCCTCATTTTTTTATTAGTGAAACACCATGAGGTACAGTTGTAGACTTACAAACTTTCGTGCTTGGGTTTCAGTTATACAATGATCGAGTACCCATCCCTCCACCAGTACCCATTCTCCACCACCAGTGATCCCAGTATCCCTCCCACCCCCACCCCCCCATTCCTACCCGGCCTCTGTGGTAGGGCATTCCCTTTTGTTCTCTCTCTCCTTTTGGGTGCTGTGGTTTGCAAAAGAGGAACTGAATGGCAATCATGTTGGGTCTATAGTCTACTTTCAGCATGCATCTCCCATCCTGGGTGGATCTTCCCAACATCCTTTATTTGGTGCTCCCTTCCCTATCTGAGCTGCCTTTACACCCCCACCACCCCAGTGTGTGAAGCTGGCCTCCAAGCCATGAAGTAAATCTCCTGGTACTTATCTCGGTTATTCTTGGGTGTTAGTCTCCTATTTTATTTCTTTATATTCTCCAGATGAATGCAATCTTTCTATGTCTGTCCCTCTCTTTTTGACTCATTTCGCTTAGCATGATATTTTCCATGTAGTACCACTTGTATGTAAATTTCATGACTTCATCTTTTCTAACAGCTGCATAGTATTCCATTGTGTAGATGTACCAACGTTTCTTTAACCAGTCATCCATTCTCGGTCACTCAGGGTTTTTTTTTTCTCCAATTTTGGCTACTGTGAACAGTGCAGCAATGAACATAGAAGTGCACATGTCATTTTGACTGTACTTTTTGCCTCTCCGGGATATATTCCCAGGAGTAGTATTGCTGGGTCAAATGGGAGCTCAATTTCTAAATTTTTTGAGAATCGTCCATACCGTTTTCCAAAAAGACTGAACCAGTCGGCATTCCCACCAGCAGTGAAGGAGGGTCCCTTTCTCGCCACATCTGTGCCAACACCAGTTGCTTTTGTTCTTTTGGATGTGAGCCAGTCTCTGTGGTGTGAGGTGATATGTCATTGTTGTTTTGATCTGCATCTCCCTGATGATTAGAGATGTAGAGCATTTTCTCATGTGCCTTTGCCATTTGGATTTCTTCTTTGAGAAAGTTTCTGTTTATTTCGTCGCCTCATTTTTTGATGGGGTTGGATGTTTTCTTCTTGTGGAGTTCAACCAGTGCTTTGTATATCCTTGATATCAACCCCTTGTCGGATGTGTATTGAGCAAGTATCCTTTCCCATTCTGTAGACTGTCTTTGTATTTTGGTCACTGTTTCTTTGGAGGTGCAGAAGCTTCTAAGTTTAAGACAGTCCCATTTATCTATCTCTGTTTTCACTTGCTTGGCCAGTGGCATGTCATTTTTGAAGAAACCATTTACTTCAAATGTCGTAAAGGGTTTTGCCAACCTTGTTTTCAACGTATCTATGGATTCCGGTCTGATGTTGAGGTCTTTAATCTATTTTGCTCTTACACACACACACACACACACACACACACACACACACACACACTGTAAGTGGCATTCTGTCCACAGTCCAATATTCGGGCACAGCATGTGTCTGTTCCATCCTGTGCAGCCACACATTCTATTGCTCGACCCTCTCCCATCCCTTGGCTCCCACCAGCGCCGTTTGCCCTGGTGTGCTGCCTAAGCCCCCAGTCCCTTTGCGGCTAGCAAGAACCAAGCTGGAGGAGTTCTAGCTAAAAGAATCCAGGGCGGGCTGGAGATACGGGACTGAGAAGGCAGAGGATGGTACCCAGGGAGATCACTCTGGACCCCCAAAGCAAAAGCTGCAGAAGAATGCACAGGTATGGTCCCTCACAGGAAGTGCAAGGGATCACCAACAGACAGCAGCAGGAAGCCCACAGGGATGGAGGAGTTTGAGCGTTAGGATCCAGGATGCCAGGATGGCTGAAGTGAAGGCTTGGCACGCAGCCAGCAATGGGGGTGCAGAGGGACCGAAGCAGCAGAAGTAGCAAGTGGGAAGTCTTGGCTGCTGCTTTATGAATCTCCACCCTCTCAAACCTGAGCGGGAGGCTAGAACTGGGCCTGGTAGGGTCTCAAAAGGCAGTGCCTGGCCATCTACAGCCAGGACAAGGACAAACGTCGCAGCATTCAGAGACGAAGAGGTGGGCGGATGGCCGCCCAGGGTAAGGACATAAGCTGCCCCCTCCACAACACCGCGTCTGGCCAAACGCAGGTGCCAGAATCCATACAGAGAGGAAATTTGCTCCAGAGATAAATGAAATCTGCTCTATGGTGCCTGGTGCCCAAATCCATGGACCGTGATGCTAACATCAAGGTGAGGCCCCCGGACTATGATATCAGGGAACTGAAATGGTGGTATCTTGCCATGCTAAGCCTCAGCAGGAGTCAGAAGCAACATAGATGCAGTCCCAGGGGCTTTGTGCAGGTTGCTGCTGGTGGTAGTTTGATTTTGGCAACACCCAGTAGTTGCACAGGCACTAGCCTTTTGAGTCCTGCCTCAGTGATCAGAGGTCACTTCCGGCTGTGTTGGGGAACCATGCTGTGTCAGAGATTGAACCAGGGCCTCCTGCATGCAAAGCATTTGCTCCAGCCCACTCGGCTATCTCTCCAGCCCAGGCTTGATCCCACTAGGAATACAACTCTGAGTGGTCAATAATCCCTGAGTACTGCCAATGTGTTTCCCTGCTCAAAAAAAAAAAAGACAGAAAAAAAGACAAAAAAAATGTAATGACATGATAATCTCAAGGCAAATATAATTCCAAGAGGTCATTGGAAGGAACCTGACATAAAAAGCAAATATATAAGCACAGGGGAAGAAACAAAAGGATACCAAAGAAGCAAAAGCAAACTTCTCAGTCATGGCAAGAATTCCTACTTTTTAACAATCTCATAATTAATAGCTTCAACTCATCAATCAAAAGGCACAGGATGGCCCGATGGATCAGAAAACTAAAGCCAATCTCTGATGCTCACAAGTGATACATCTGAACTGTCATGGCAAATGCAAGCTAAAATTTTGGAGCCTTGGAAACAATCTTACAGGCAAATAGTAGCCTAAAAGAGGCTGGGATTCCACAGACTCCAACTAAACAGTGAGGGAAAACTCTAGTGCCGG